ACAGGCCTCCTGTGGAGCAGGGAGCCCGATGCGGGGCTCGATCCCAGGACCCTGGGATCATGACCTGAGCCGAAGGCACATGCTTAATGACTGAGCCACCCAGGTGCCCCACTTTCTCATCCTTTAAATGGAAATGTGATTTATTCTTCTGAAGCATCTTTTTTTTTTTTTTTGAGGAAGGAATTATAGATCTTTTAATGCTGGCTCAACCAGATGGTTGATTATTTTTCTTTCCTTTGTCCTCTGCGTCTTTTTAAAAGCATCTGCAGGAAGTGATAGAAATGAAGAAAAACAGCCTCTTGACTTTCCTGGCTGGGCGGTACCAGTGGGCCTCCCAGGTGGGCGCAGCACCCTTCACAGGAGGGGCAGGTGGGGAGGTGGCCAAGCGGCAGGACATCCCGTCCCCTCAGCGGTCCCTGCAGGAGAAGGCACCTTGCAAGGATTTCTTCTGGAAGACCTTCTCCTCCTGCAAATAAAACTCCACCCCTGATCACTCATGCAAAGGAGTGTAACCATGGATCTGAATAAAATGTATTAACAGCCATGATCTTCTTTGCACAGTTGTCTTCTCCTCGTGTAATTTGGAAAGTTTTATTTATTTGTTTATATTTTAAAATATTTTATTTTTAGTAATCTCCACACCCAACGTGGGGCTTGAACTCACAACCCCGAGATCAAGAGTCCCCGTGCTCCACTGAGCGAGCCAGCCGGGCGCTCCCCAAAGTGAACATTTTTGAAAAAGATTTTTATGTTTTCCGCTGTAGTGTACCCACTGGGCTTTCTTTTCACTTTAGTTATGTGCTTGGAAGTTCTGCCTTCCAGTTGTCTCCTTTCCTTTGATTTAAAACGGTTAAAGGCGACATCTTTAAGAATCCAGAATCCAGAATAACATCTTATTTCAGTTTGTTTTCATAGAAATTGTCTAATTTAAAAAATATTTCCCTTGTATTAAAAGCAAATTTTTAACATTGTGCTCAAAGAGCAAAATGATTATTTCTTGTGTTTTGGCGAAAACCAATTTAAAAACAAATGTCACGCTCTCAAACATGATCTTGTGTTCACATACTCATAAGAATAGTTACATTCAAACCTTCTCTGATAAAATACCCATACTGATTTTCATTAGTAGGTTAATTTTAATTTGTTACAGTTCTTTCATGGATCAGAGCTTCTACGTTTGTGTTGTGAAGAACAAAGTCTGTTCAAAGGCCTTATTTCAAACCAAATACAGAGCAGGGCTGCTGTCGAGCCTGGGCCTGCTTACCTCAACTTTTTAAATTTAATTTTATTTTTTAAGATTTTATTTATTTATTTGACAGAGACACAGCGAGAGAGGGAACACAAGCAAGGGGAGTGGGAGAGGGAGAAGCAGGCTTCCCTGTGAGCAGAGAGCCTGATGCGGGGCTCGATTCCAGAACCCTGAGATCAGGACCTGAGCTGAAGGCAGACGCTTAATGAATGAGCCACCCAGGTGCCCCCTTGCCTCAACTTCTAATTCAGGACTTTCAGGATCGCAGGAACCAGACTTTGTTCCGTGACAGATGCATGTATGTAATTTTTTAATAAAGATTTTATTTATTTAAGACAGAGATAGAGCGCATGGACAAGCAGGGGGAGTGGCAGGCAGAAGGAGAAGCAGGCTCCACCCTGAGCAGGGAGCCCGATGCGGGGCTCGATCCCAGAACTCCAGGATCACAACATGAGCCAAGGGCAGATGCTTAACAAACTGAGCCATCCAAGTGCCTCCACATGCATATATGATTTGATATATTTTCCCATTCCCCAAGAATTTCCACAGAAGGGACAATGAGTGATGGCTACACAGGAGGGGAGTTCCTTTTTCTGTAATACAGGGCCGAGCAGCTGTCAAGCCCCATGCAGACCAGGATTTGGGGTTGCTCCAGTGAAATGAGGAGTGAACAAATCACTCAGTTTCAAAACCCTAATCAAATCTTTAGTTCTCTCCCATAGCACCAAAATCCTTGCTTGATTCCGCATATTGTTTATGGCTCTTGAATGCCAGACTCTGAAGAATACTTCAGGGTGAAGGTGTTTAGATGCTAAACTTTAAAGTTCAGAGATTCACACCTGGAGTTATGGGAAGTTTCTGAGGGTCAGGCCAAATATGGGGAAAACTGGCAAAGGCTGGCTGGAGGAGCACTGTAATCTCTTCTCGGGATACCAGGGGAGAAGGCGCGGAGTATGACTGCTGACCGTTCCGTTCTGTTTTCTGCAGAGCTGAGCTCAGATCCATAATTACTAGCTGAGTAAAGTATAATGTGTTGGAGGACCTTAATAGCATCCAAATTTCCAGACACAGCAGCTTGAAGAGACCAGTAATTGGGTCAGTGCATTGGTGCAAGATGCCAGCCTGGAAGGCCAGCTAACCTTCAGAACTTGTCTTTTAAGATTTTCCTAGAAGAAAAGCATGCCCCTTGTTTTTCAGTTTCTTTCTTTTTTTTTTTTTTTAAAGATTTTATTTATTTATTTGACAGACAAAGATAATGAGAGAGGGAACACAAGCAGGGGGAGCGGAAGAGGGAGAAGCAGGCTTCCCACTGAGCAGGGAGCCCGATGCGGGGCTCGATCCCGGGACTCTGGGACCATGACCTGAGCCGAAGGCAGATGCTTAACCAACTGAGCCACCCAGGCGCCCCTCAATTGGGGTCATACATACACAGTCCTTAGGATTGGGGACTTATAACTTTGAACTAAGTAATATCTGAAGGATAATGAGGCTGTGCTAATGAGACTGGCAGGAAATCTGTCACGTCTAAGTTTACCTGAGTTCAGGGGGCTGAATAGAATGTTAACTGGCATCAACTGCAGGGTAGACTAGATTAATATGCTCATGATGAATACATTAGGGTGAAATGGGTATATTAGGGTAATTTTCTACCATCAGGTTTTGGGTAGACTTTTCTCAAAGTATACCTTTCTGTAGTTCAATACAGACAAGTGTGTAGATGTGGTCATCGGCACCAGGACAACTTGTAATTCATTCTTGTGCATTTCTTTTTTTAAAGATTTATTAATTTATTTGAGAGAGAGAGAAGCACACAGGAGCAGGGGGAGGGGCAGAGGGGGAGAGAGAGAATCTCAAGCAGACTCCACGCAGTGTGCAGAGCCCCGAGGTAGGGCTTGATCCCACAACCCTGAGATCATGACTTGAACTGAAATCAAGAGTCGGACGTTCAGCTGACTGAGCCACCCAGGCGCCACTCTTGCATTTATTTCTAATATTTGGCACCAGAATGGATCCTTAACTACTGGGGAAGAATTGAGTGTGACATAAACATTCGACAGAAATCCTTCATAGTATTCATATTTCAGGACTGTTGGCAAACCATTCTAGGCTTTAGGAAACTCAGAGCAGTAGGCTCATGGGAGACACTTAAAGACCTTGATTTAACAGCACCTGCTGAAGGGATCACCCACATCTTAGTAGCAGCTTCCTCAGTAGAGCTATGGATTCCATTTTTTAAAAGTTTATTTAAATAATCTCTACACCCAATGTGGGGCTCCAACTCTTGAGATCAAGAGTCACACGCTCTTCCAACTGAGGCAGCCAGGAGCCCCTAGGTTCCGTTTTGAACAAATCAGAAGAGGAAAACTCAGGTAGGTATTAAAAAGAAGGAAATTTTTGGTGTTTAGACGAGAAAGGAAAAGGCAAAGGGCAGCTGGGCTACCCACTATTTCTAGCTTGTCATAACCCTAATAAAAGTAACGCTAATTTATCTTTTCCACTTATAATTAGTTAAGTGATCAAAAATATAGGTGCTTGGGGCGCCTGGGTGGCTCAGATGGTTAAGCGTCTGCCTTCGGCTCGGGTCATGATCCCAGCGTCCTGGGATCGAGCCCCGCAT